GAAGAGGTGATAGACCTGTGAAGTTCACAAGTTGGGGATGGAGGGAGGAGAGGCACAGCTGAATTGTGAGGGGTGAAAGTTGTCCTTCAGTAATTCCTTCCCTCCCCAGACCCAGCTGGAATTGCCACTGTGGTCCATTCCAGGTGTAAATCCATTTGTTTGCCCTAATTCTCCTTTACCTTGGAGGGATGGAGAGCATAGTGCCAAATCTGCTTGGGAGCGTGGAAAACAACCCCTCTGCCCCAGGGGCACTTTTGGGGAGCACAGGAACACCTCAACCTGCTCTGGATGTGCTGGAAACTCAGGGTTTGGATCAGGAAAAGCCTTCCTGGGCTGGATGAGGAGGCACAGAGCTGCTGTGTGTCCCTTCAGTGCAGTTCTGGTGGTTCCACTGTGGAAGTTTTACTCAGTGAGTAAACTTAAATGGAAGAACCAGGACATGGAGGTGGGGAGGGGTGGTGGGAGTTGCTCCTGGGCACACAGGCACCTTGTACAGGGAGGTTGGCTTCACAAGGAGGGTCCATGGGCACCTCTTGGGTCTGTGCCTGTGCATTGTGCAATTGGAGAGATACAGGGTGAGGCTTCAAGTTTTCCAGAATAAAAAAAAAAATGGTTTGGTCCTTCTGCTTTCAGTGACAGCGCAGTGCTCCAGTTTCTGCAGCACCACGCTGCAGATTCTTCTGGAGCCAGAGCTGGCTTTTGCAGGGCACTCACCTGTTGGTTACAGTGTGAGTGACATGGGGCTGTGCTGGGTCTGAGCAGCTCCTGCTGCCTCCTGGAAAAGAGGAGTTGAAAATCCCAAAGAGGAAAGTGGGAGGAATGACTGGAGAATACTGCGTGTTCTTGTGCTGGGCTAGATCACTTGCATTAAATTCAGAGACTTTCTGAGTACAATTAATAGTCATTTTATTTAGGTCACCCTGGTTTTGTTGCTTTAAATGTATGCCTCCATTAAAGTGGAAGAAAATCAAATACATTTATCTCCGTGGAGCCTTTTGTGAACTGGTTGGGCATATTTTAAATAACCCTGGGAACTGTTAGGATTATTAAAGCCTTTGGCTCCTCCAGGTTTTTTTTCTTTCCTCTTATTCTCCCCTATTCCTCCTTCCAGGCAGTGAGTAATGAAGTGGTAGAGCCCTTCCTTTTCTCAGAGCCCCAAGTGGATTGGAAAAAAAAGAAGTTAAATAAACTGAAGCCCATTAGTTAGGCTTTATGTAGGAAACTGGGTCTGCATTGGCTCTATGGATGGGCTGTGCTGGGACAGAGGAGTCTGGGGTCTGAAGTGTCCATTTGTAACCAGTGTTCACTGGCAAGTCTTTGTTTTCTTCTTTTTTTTTAGTTACCCTAAGTCCTGAGACTGTTCATTTTGTAGCTCTCACTTGGTGCTCAGAGTGAGTCTGCATTAATCAGCTCCTTTAGCCTCCCTCCTCCATGAGAGGAGGCTTGAGGAGGCGGGGGTGGGTTGGAGGGGCTCAGCCTCCCCCTCCTGTGCTGGGCTCCACTGGGGGCTGGGGTCTGGCCAGCAGCACGTGCTGGGTGATGGCCAAGCCTTGCAGGTGGCAATTCCATCTCCCAGTCCCTCTTCTAGCCCTGGCAAAACCTTCCTTGCCTCTTGTGTGCAGAGTGAGCTGCATGTTTTGAGCTGAGACCTGGAAAAGCTGCAGTTGAGCTTTTTGAAACGCTGGTTGAGCCAGGGGCTGCAGGAGGGGGTTAACTCAGGCAGTCACAGCCCCTGAATGCACTTGAGTTTCGGCTGTGGGTTGGGTTTTTTTCCCTTCCCCTGAAATGGGGATCAATTTGCTTACTGCAGGGTTTACTGCCGGTTACCTTGACTGTGTCCCTTATTTCTCCTTGATGAAAACTTGAACAAGCCGCTTGTGTTTGCTTCGCAGAGAACCGTGAGAAACGGGCTGTGTGTGTGAGGCAGTGTGGTTTGCTCATTCTATTCAGCCCTTTGTATATTCAAATTCTTCTAGTTTGAGTTCTTGCTGTTCTGCCAGATTTCCATACCATTGATGGGTTTTCTGCATTAATAAGTTTCTCTCCCCCCTCCCTCCCATACCCTCGCCACCTTTTTGCAACTGGTGAAAAGTTTTTCTAAGCGCGCTGCCCTCTCCATATTGATTTTCTTCTCCTGCTTGTCTCACCAGCTCTCAGATGTTTTATTTTGCAAAGCGTTAATAGAATTTTCCTTTTGCCACTGCACTTTATCTATTCAGGAGGTTTCAAGAAGTCTCATTGTGTCACCGGACTATGGAGGAAAGAGGCTATTCTTCTGCTACAATGGCTGCCCTAAAAAATAACGCAGGGTGGGGTAAGCACAGAAAGGGCAGAGACGGAGATAAAATGTTCTGACCTTAGGAAAGAGAAAAGATAACCAATTAGACATTGTTGAAAGGGCACCAGCTGGCTCAAAGAACACCCCACTGATAATTTTTTCTTCAAGGCATACTCGGGCCACGTCTGAACTCAGCTGCAGAGACGCTCCCCCCGTGCAGGTTTCATATGTGGACTGTCAGGGCTGACCCTTTTCCAGGAGCTGCTGCCTCCTGGTCCCAGCAGTTGGGGCTGTTGGAGGGGGGCAGTGCCCACTCCGGGGTGCCTGTGCTCCTCGGGGCCCCAATAAACCTCCCTGGTCCCAGCAGTTGGGGCTGTTGGAGGGGGGCAGTGCCCACTCCGGGTGCCTGTGCTCCTCGGGGCCCCAGGAAACCTCGCTGCTGGATTAGCCCTGCAGCCCGTGCTTGTTACTGCTAATAGGGATTTATTTGCATAAAAAAGATCCCTGCCAAGATCATCATTCCAGCTTGGTACACATGGCACAAAGCCCCGTTTGCCCGGAGGATGGGGGTGTGTTGGACAGGTGGGAGAAGGGGAGGGGGCTGCAGAGCCCAGTGGGACTGGGCTGCACCCAGAGCCCCCCAGCCCTGCAGGAGCAGCCCCTCCTCTGCCCTGGCAGCTCCTGCAGGAGCACTGTGAGGCTGCACAGGAGGTTCAGGGCTCTGCTGCTGCCAGCAGTGGCTGAGGCATGGCCATGCTGGAGCATCTCTTCTGTCCCTGACCAGCACACAGCCTTTTTGAGGTCCCCAGCAATGTCCCTGCAGGAGGAGGTGTCATTTGGGCAGCCCAGCCTGGAGAGCCTGCACTCAGCCTGGGGGGACAGGGCACCTCCCTGGGCTCCTGGATCTGTGCTCCTGCACATCCAAGAGCTCTCAGAGCTCTGGGATGGGGTTGGAGGGAGAAAAGTTCCATTTTAAACCTTTTGCAGCAGGGGTTGGGTGGGGACAGAGGGTGACACAGGAGCTGTGATGCCCAGGAAGCAGCAGCAGGTGCAATCTGTAATTTTTGGTTCCAGTGAGGCCAAGACCTGTGAGAATGAAAAATACAGATTGCTGAGCAAACATAACCCTGGAGCAGAGATAAGCAGGGTGAAGGGCAGCCTGGTCCTTATCTGCCTCCTGGTATTGCTCATCCTGGTGAATTTTCCCCTTGGAGGGAAGACAGACAGCAGGACAGACGGCTCTGTGCTTAATGCAGTTTGGGTTTTTCAGTGCATCAGCATCTTTAGGTCTCAGTCAAGATGGGTATCAGGAGACCTGCATTTCTGCACTCTCTCAGGCCATTGCTGGCACTTTCTGCAAACTATTTTGGCTAAAAAAGTTAAGAACAACTTAAGCAGACACAGGTTTTCAGATGAAATTCAGACATCATGTAAGGTTTTGCTGCACTATGTTTTTTTTACAATCTCCTGGAACATATTACAGTCCTTCAGAACCTCAGGGAGGTTCAACTTGTGTTTTCACCACTTCTCAAACTCTTTCTCCCCAGCCAAGGCTGAAAAATGTTTCACAGACAGAGGCTGGATGTCTGTCTGTTGCCTAAGAGGGCACTTGGGGGGGACAGGTGGACCCTTTAGTGGCACTGTGTGAGATGAGGAGAGCATGTAACTGCATTGTAAATCACTTAGCTAAAATAAATGATTTCTTGAAAGCCAGAGTACAAGCCCAAGGAAGTACAGAAAAATTACTGGTGGAAAAAAAATCCAAAAGCTTCAAACAAACAAACAAAAAAAAAATCCCAAAGCCACACCCCAGAAAAGCAGTGGAGTCCTTTGGAGGATAAAACCTTTTCTTTCAAGTTCTTCCTTCCTGCAACACCTTCTGTAATTCAGTTTTAGAGGTTTTCATCATTCCCGAGTTTGCAGCAGGGAATTGCAAGGCTGTAATTTCATCTCAGAGCTTGCCCAGGCCATGTCCAGTGGCACATGGGACCCACCTGCCCCACTCCTGCAGCCTCAGAACAGCAGCTCAAGGTGTGATGGTGCTGGGGAGTCAGCCCCAGCACAACATCCTTGTGCAATAAGTGCAAAATTTTAGGTGTGGCTGCACAGATTAAATGGAGGTGGAATAAATCATGCAAATCCTAATGAAAGTTGAAAGCAATTTGGTTGCACTTCAATACTTTCATCAGTCATCTCTCTCTCTTCTGAAGTGGAAATGCCGAGCCTGATGCGAATTAAAGTTTCTCTCTCCTCCCTCTCCCCTTTCCTCCAGCTTTTCAAAAACCCTTTTGAAAACCTCTGAATCCCTTTCTTGGCTGACCAGATTTTACCCTGCTCATACCTCTCTTAACCTAATTCTCAACCAAGACAGTGGCTCTAAATTTGGAGAAGTCATGGGCTTGATTTGCATCCACACTTCCTCCCTTGGCCCTCCCTGGTCTCCCTGCAAAAGGGAGATGAGGCACAGCCAGGGATTGATGTGAGGTGGAAAAGCTGCTGAGATATTTGGCTCTTTAGGGCCAGCATTTCAGTGGTCACTTTTCTGCTTCAGGATCAGCTGTCAGGCAGGGCAGGGAGGGGAAAGCAGCAGGTTTCCAGAAGGAGAAGCTGCCTCTGGCCAAGCCAAGGAGCTCTGCTCCATGCAGCTGCTCTGCCTCCTGGTGTGTGTGGGTGTCTGAGTTCCTGTGTGGTAAAGCACAACTCTCCCCTCTTTGTCTTGCAGGTAGAGGATGCCATGCTAATGTTTGACAAGACGACCAACAGGCATAGAGGTAAGAGGGGTTGGGAGCTCTGACCTCCCAGTGTGGGGCAGCTTCTGCATGGGGGAGCAAAAGCCAGATTCAGTGAGCTGAGCTGCTGGCTGAATCTGTGGCACTAAATCCTCTGTCCTGCAGGTAGCAGGGAGGGGTGGTTGGCGTGGAATGCCCCATGCACGTGGATTTTCTTGTTAGGAGTGACTTTCCTGCTCAGCCTCATGACTGAAGGCAGGGATTGTAGCACCCTGGAAAGTTCAGCAGCAGTGAGCAAAAGACTTGCTGAGGAAGATCAGCTCTTCCAGCCAGGGAGGGTGTGTGAGCAGCCAGTGCCCTTCCTCCTGTAACAGGGACCTCTTCAAAGCTCTTACTTAGGTTGAAAAGTTCAACCCTGACAACTTCCTTTTATATCCAGGGATATTCCACCCTTCCCCATGAAATCACCCTTAAATGGGCCATAAATACTCCTCTCCATTCAGGCTCTCAGTTGTTCGCTGCATTTAAAAGCTGCCTGGAGCTTTGGTGCTGGGCACAAGGGCCCTGTGGTCTGGGGGCAGCAGGGGGGCTCTGGTCCCAGCAGGTTTTCCTCTGGCACGGCTGGAGGTGGTCTCTGTTTGCTGAGATGTCCCAGATGCAGGGCTGGGTTCCCAGCTGGCTGTGAGCCCTGTGAGCTCTGTGAGCCCCGTGAGCTCTGTGAGCCCTGTGAGCCCTGTGAGCCCTGTGAGCCCTGTGAGCCCTGTGAGCCCTGTGAGCCCTGTGAGCCCTGTGAGCCCTGTGAGCCCTGTGAGCCCTGTGAGCCCTGTGAGCCCTGTGAGCCCTGTGAGCCCTGTGAGCCCTGTGAGCCCTGTGAGCCCTGTGAGCCCTGTGAGCCCTGTGAGCCCTGTGAGCCCTGTGAGCCCTGTGAGCCCTGTGAGCCCTGTGAGCCCTGTGAGCCCTGTGAGCCCTGTGAGCCCTGTGAGCCCTGTGAGCCCTGTGAGCCCTGTGAGCCCTGTGAGCCCTGTGAGCCCTGTGAGCCCTGTGAGCCCTGTGAGCCCTGTGAGCCCTGTGAGCCCTGTGAGCCCTGTGAGCCCTGTGAGCCCTGTGAGCCCTGTGAGCCCTGTGAGCCCTGTGAGCCCTGTGAGCCCTGTGAGCCCTGTGAGCCCTGTGAGCCCTGTGAGCCCTGTGAGCCCTGTGAGCCCTGTGAGCCCTGTGAGCCCTGTGAGCCCTGTGAGCCCTGTGAGCCCTGTGAGCCCTGTGAGCCCTGTGAGCCCTGTGAGCCCTGTGAGCCCTGTGAGCCCTGTGAGCCCTGTGAGCCCTGTGAGCCCTGTGAGCCCTGTGAGCCCTGTGAGCCCTGTGAGCCCTGTGAGCCCTGTGAGCCCTGTGAGCCCTGTGAGCCCTGTGAGCCCTGTGAGCCCTGTGAGCCCTGTGAGCCCTGTGAGCCCTGTGAGCCCTGTGAGCCCTGTGAGCCCTGTGAGCCCTGTGAGCCCTGTGAGCCCTGTGAGCCCTGTGAGCCCTGTGAGCCCTGTGAGCCCTGTGAGCCCTGTGAGCCCTGTGAGCCCTGTGAGCCCTGTGAGCCCTGTGAGCCCTGTGAGCCCTGTGAGCCCTGTGAGCCCTGTGAGCCCTGTGAGCCCTGTGAGCCCTGTGAGCCCTGTGAGCCCTGTGAGCCCTGTGAGCCCTGTGAGCCCTGTGAGCCCTGTGAGCCCTGTGAGCCCTGTGAGCCCTGTGAGCCCTGTGAGCCCTGTGAGCCCTGTGAGCCCTGTGAGCCCTGTGAGCCCTGTGAGCCCTGTGAGCCCTGTGAGCCCTGTGAGCCCTGTGAGCCCTGTGAGCCCTGTGAGCCCTGTGAGCCCTGTGAGCCCTGTGAGCCCTGTGAGCCCTGTGAGCCCTGTGAGCCCTGTGAGCTCTGTCCCTGCCCACCAGCTCAGAGCTCTCAGCTCCCTGTGCCCGCCTGGCTCTGCTGCCAGGCTGGGCAGGCGGTGACAGCAGAGCAGGGCTGTGTGAGCCCTGCTGTGCTCCTGCAGGATGCTGCTCTGGTGTTGCCAAGGTGACCCCTGCTCTGTCCCTGCCTCTGTGCTGCTCCAAGCACTTCCCGAGGTGGGAGTGTTGGTGTGTGTGCTCTGTGAGTGCTGAGCTCTGCTCCAGCAGCCCTGCTTCAGCCTTCCTGGGCTCTTGGGGGAGCCTGCAGCTTTGAGCCTGGGTAATGAGCCCCGCAGGAGGATTCCTTGTCCAGAAACATCTTTCCACTGACTTACCAGGAGGAAAGATCTGCTGGAGATGAGGGCTGCAGGTCTGGGGGGCACCTTATCTGTCATGAAACATTTTGGGTTTTCCACAAAGGGCTTTTTTCCCACTATGTGTGTTGAAGATGAGAGGCAACAGGTAATCCTTTTTTTTATTTCCCCTGGGAATTCTGTGCATTTATTTAATTGGCTAATTTTTTTAATAGCTTGTTTTTCCTACGTGCAAGCCATGACATCTTGCTCTGCATTATCACCCCAGGGTAAGCTCCTGCATGAGGTCTAAATAGGGAGGAACTAAAAGCCCCTGAGGACCAAAAGCAGGCTCCAAATGCCCCTGGGTGGAGGTGATGTTACCCCACACCCTCCCCAGTGTCCAGAGTCAGACTGTGCACCCGGGTCTGCCCCTCTGGGGACAGGCTGGGCTGGAGCCCCTCTCCTGGCAAAGAAAGGACTTCTCTGGCACTCAGGAGACTCAGCTCTGCCTGGGAGGCTGTATCCCAGGGAACAGGCTTACCCACTGCTGGGTGAAGGGCAGTGCTGCTGGGATTAGCCAAAATTCTGGGAGCAGGGAAGAGAGGAGCTGCTCAGCTGCCCAAGGACAGAGGGGGTGAGCTCTGGGCCCTTACCCTGCCAGGCACAGGTGGGAGGAAAAATCAAGTACAAAAGGCAGAGTGAGAGTCCTCTTCATCTCCACACTCGAATTTATCCAGCCTTTTGTGGCATTTTTTCCTGCTCTGCACAGGTAGCTAGTGCTAATCAGCCTAATGAACTGGCTCAGGGCTGTGGTGATGAAGAGAGTTCTGCCGCCTCGACCGCCGATAAAATCACCCCAGATTTTACAAATTGTGGCACTCTGATTGTGTTGGAAGCGTGTTTAAAATGCGTCAGTGTGCAGCAACAGTGTTAATGGCAATTCTTAAAGCCACTTGTGGGTTGCAATCTGTATCTTCAAATTAGCCACGGGAAGGAGAAATGGCAGATAAAATATCCGCTGTGGTTTGCTGCCTCAGTCTCTGCCTGGAATAATCACCGTGGGCACGGGAAGGGAAAAGGATTAAAATTCACTCCCTACTGCTAGAAGGTGAGATAAATTTCCTTGCAAGAAAATGGAGAGGGTTTGTTGACATAATTCTGGCACGTGTGTGTTGCTCCTGTGTGTTTGGGGAGTGTAACTCACCTGCACCAGCACTGCTCGGTGAAACGCAGGGATGGAACAGGCAGAGGAAGAGGGGTTCCCAAAATGCTCACCCTGGCTGGAAAACCCACCCAAAATAAAACTCCATGCCTGGCATGGAGCACTTCGCCTCTGTGGTGGACTTGATCTTGGAGGTCGTTTCCAACCTTAATGATTCTGTGATTCTATAACCTTAAAAATGCCATCAGGCCAGTCATGCTGTGTCTCTGCCAGGGGTATTTTAATGTCCAGCTATTCCTGGATGTTCTCTAAGGAAAATAAGACTCAGCTCTTGCATTTCATGCTGATCTGTTGGGCTATATTAAAGGCAGGCTGCAAAATCTGTGTTTAATTGGAGTGGTTATGTTTTGGTGTATTGTAGGCAAGACAATCCCTAGAACCACTGGGATGTCCCTTCCAAGGGTTCTTCTGGTGTGACAGTGGGCACACAAAAAAAACCCAGCACTTGATAAACAAGCCCCCCTGGGGCAGCTTGTTTAGGTGCCTTTTTTTTGAAACAAAGTGTTGGTGATCCTCAGTTTCTGTACTACTGTATTCCTGCAGTCTTCTGAAAACCACGCACAAAAGTTCTCCCGACATTCTGGCAGACCACTTCTGTCACTTTCTTCACTGCTTAAAATTTCATAGAGCTGAAAATTACTGGGTCAATCTTGAAAGGATTCAGTAATTGGAAAGAAAGGAAAAAAAAAGAGGGTGGTGTTATTTTGTTACCCTTGCAAAGTGCAGATAAAATCTGGAGTTCAGCATTAGTTATTGATCTTGGGGGTGGAGGGAGCCTGGCAGGATGATGATGTCCTTCTAACTTCATTATGGAGAGGAGCTCCAGGAAGCATTTCAATGTGCTGGGGTGGGGGCCGTGCCCTTGGGCTCTGCAGAGGGTTTGTTGTTTCCAGCACAGCTGAGCAAAAGCTCCAGACACAGCACGAGGAGGAAGAGGGAGGAAGGCACAGTTGGATCAGTCGAGGGGTGCAGGGGTGGGCTGTCCTGAGCTGCTCCAGCCTGAGGGGAGGTAAGGCAGGAGAAGGGGCTCCAAGGTTGCTCCCCTCAGCGGGATGCCCTTGTCCCAGCCCCGGTGATCCCTGCCCAGCCTGAGGGTGCCTGCAGCCCTCAGCCCCTCCAGGAGCTGTCCAGGACCTGCATCACAAGAGCCCCAAGTCCTGGACTCCCAAAAAGCCCACGATTTTGAGTGAGTGAGCCCCCCAAGCTGTAATTGCAGGTACTAGTGTAATACTATATGTTTTTCAAAGCCGTGCAGCCCCCAGAGTTATTTTCACATCAATTAACCCTCTTGCACGGTTAAGGATGGCAGCGGAGAGAGGAGGGAAGTGACAACGTGTGATTTGGACTCCTTTAATCTTAAAACTAAACAAAATTAACGCGAGGCAGGCTGTCTGCAGGGTGCAGACAGCCTCCCAGGTGTTAGGGGTTAAACATGCCCAGGGACAGACTGATGTCAGCAGAGCTCTGAGGTCACCCCCTGCTCCCTGTGCCTGTGAGGAGGGTGCCCAGGCAGGGGCTGGCACCTGGCTGGGGCTGGAGGGTGCTGAGCATCCCTTTGGCTGCCAGGCCCTTGCAGGGGGGCACCAGGACACTGCTGGTACCCTCCT